CAGGGACGGACCCAGGAATATGAACTCGTAGGGTCATAGTGTAAAAATTCAAATTTTTTTTTAAAGATTAAAATAACATTGAAAATGAAACAATAGTACATTCATTCATAATTCATGTTAAAAACAACATTACAAATTACAATTGGCCACGACGAGGTTTCATATTTTGAAAACGTAGCATTGTAGCTTCATTTTCAATACAATCAAAAACATGTCAAACAAATAAGCAACTCAGTGTTTACCCCATTAAAACGAGCATCTAACTCCGTAAGTTGCTCATTAATGACATAAATAAAGAACTTCACACGATAATGATGACGAAAACGGTTCACTGATCATGTAGGCGAAAACGGTACATCAATCAAAGCCCTAGAACTAAAGTAATGAACTTCAGAAGATTTTGAAGAAATTTTCTACTTGTCCTTAACTCAAGAGCGAAGATTGGTTGAGCAAGTTATAAGTAAGCAACGGGATTATAACAAGAACATGAAAGCAGCTTAGCAGGAGGAGGTATTTGGTTGGTACTTGGTAGTGCATCTTAGGAGTCGTTATTGATCAATTATTTATTTCAAGTAGGTAGATTGCTACTTGGCTGGCAATGGTGGTGGTAATTTTCAACAGGTAGATCCCTTAGGCTTTGGTTTTCACTCCTTGTTAGGTCGTTTAAAGAAATTTTATGTAATCAAGGGTATGTTATCACTACAATCTGTTTTATTTATTTTTTTCAAAGGCCTGGACCAAAACGACGTCGTTTTGGCCAGGTCTTTTAAAAAAAATTCAGTGCTGCTGGTCCAAAACGACGCCGTTTTGGTGCCAGCGCATTAAAAAAAAAATTCGCTGGGTTCAAAACAACGCCGTTTTGGATCCAGCGGTTTTGAAAAAACAAAAACAGACCTGCAGCTCCCCTGTTCATCTTCTTCTTCCTCAGATTTGCAGCTCCTCCTTCAGCCATTCATGGGGTCACACACAGGTTCAAAGGGACCTTCTACCTTACGTTCATGGAGTCCATAGGGTCGTTTGACCCCATTGACCCCACTGTGGGTCCGTCCCTGCCCCTAGGTAGAACCCATCACCATGAGCTTGAACTCTATTGAGGTTTTATATATTGAAGAAGATAAAGATTGATAATTAAATTTGAAGAATTTTAATTTACATGCATCATGCATGTTAGGCATGAGCTCAACACAGTCAATCCATGTCACAGCTCCTGGCAGTTTAGATTAGTTTAAAGTAAAATATCGCTTGTATTAATTTTATAGAGATAAAATCAATTACATGCTTGGAACTTTATTTTTCCAGTCGTTGATTCTTCATAATGATTTACAACTTTGCTTCTCTATATTATTGGTATATGTAGAAATTTATTCTGTGACTACAAAAAATTACATGAATTTTTTTTCAATATTTTAGGAGGGCAAAGTGCAGATATTATATTGCATTGGTATACTGTATATGTGTTACTTGCCTTGACAATGTTGAAAGATTTTAATATAATTATCAATGCACCTTATATTCTGGATCTAGGATGTTGTTTTAATTTGCTAAAAACAACATAAATATTCTTTTCAGGATTTATTCACAGCCGGAACTGACACAAATGCAATTTCACTAGAGTGGGCATTGGCAGAGCTCATCAACCATCCAAGAGTGCTCAAGAAAGCAAGGGAGGAGATCGATCGAGCCGTCGGAAATCGAAGAGTAGCCGGAGAATCGGATGTTCCAAATCTTCCATACATCCAAGCCATCATAAAAGAAACATTTAGACTACACCCACCAGTGCCTTTGGTCACAAGAAACTCTGTACAACAATGTAAGATTGGGGGATATGACAGCCCTACAAACACAATGCTATATGTGAATGTTTGGGCCATTGGAAGGGACCCAGAGAACTGGGAAAGCCCACTGGACTTCTGGCCTGAAAGATTCTTGCAACTGAGTGACGATCGTGGCCAGATGAGTGCAGTGGATGTTAGGGGCCAACATTTTCAACTCATGCCATTTGGGTCTGGGAGGAGGGTGTGTCCTGGTGTAAACTTGACCATGAAAATGTTGCCTGGGGTACTTGCGGCTTTGATTCAATGCTTTGATTGGAAGGTTGATGGCTCTGATTGCAAGAAGATGAACGGTGATGATGTTCTTGAAATGGATGAACGCCCTGGATTGACTGCTCCGAGGGCGCATGATCTTGTGTGTGTTCCTGTTGTCCGCTTCAGCCCACTCAACATCCTTGACCCATAAGGCAAACTTTTTTATTTATATGTTGGTCATAAAAATATTCTGAAAGTTTATTGTGTGTGTGTTGTAGTAATACCCGTAAAGGGAAAATAACTTTAATGTATCTTCGTATTTTACAGCTTTAATGAGAAAGAAATAGCTTCTGTTTTTCTGAGTTCTGATGGGAAAAAATAGTAAATGATAAGGCTAACAAAGTAATGCTTATTTTGATATTATGTGGCAAGGAGATTTTGAGGTTAGAGTTTAATGTTAATGATCACTGGTTTAGGGTATGTTCTATAGACATTGACTCGAACACAATACATGTCAAATACGTTATGATATCTGATAGACACAACACGCATTGGATATTGTACAATTCGTGTCGAACACATATTTTAGAATATCTTTCATATTTTAGAATATCTTTCAGACACAGTAGAAAACGATCAAATGTTTTATTTTAGGTAGAATAATGGAAGAGGAACGTGAATGTAATGCCAATCTTTTCATTTTGTGTCATTTATTATCTTTAAGCTTTATATTATTATTATTTTAAAATTCATTATGAAATGAAGAGCAGAGATATAACTAGGTTTTAGTGTAACTAAAGCACAGAGATAAATAAGCGCCAGAATAAATCCTGGCGATAAATGCAATTGCCTCATTGTGAATCACTTATTAAAGGAAACGTCATAGTTCCAACATACAGTACGATGAGAGAATGTGACCCAAATCTCCGGCTTGGCTCCGATATGTTAGCATGTATTTTGGGCACCACTCCAAGAGCAAGGTGTATTTCTTCTTTTGGTAATTGGTGAATACTTGCAATCGTATCATCAGAAATGTGTACTTCTTAAGGCAATCGTATCTGTGTGGATTATATAAAACTCTCGATCATGACTGTGGGAAGATACTCATAACAGACATCAACTTCCGAATTACCCACCTCATCTTCTTAACATGTCTGCATTCGTGAGCTCTGTGGAAATTGATGTCCATAGAATACTCACTAATATTTGTATGGGAAGTACAAATATTAGAATTTCAAAGTCAATCTTGCAATTACACATAGATATATATATGTCATGTGGTACCAATCATGCAATACTGTTAATATATCTGTGTGTATCATACTCACCCTCAGCACGACATATCGCATGCCGAGAACCATGTTAAGTAGTCATGTTGCCCATGTGGTTGCTCTGGAGAATCATCTGTAAAGGTAGGTATTTCTGTTATTGTGGGTCCAATTGCATGCTGACGCTGAGTATTTCTTATAATGGGATGGTATGACTCCGACTTGGCTTGAAGAATTATGACTAGTCTCAGACAACTGTGTCATTTGCCCTGATATGTGTACTTCTTAAGGAAATTTTTGTGCTATAAGATGGGGAAGGTGAAGCCTATATGCTTAGGCATTTGACTCACCTAGTCACATCACATGTAGCAGAAGAGAACCCACTATCTCACTAGTAGATGTTCATAGTGTCATTACAGAGAGGGTCGCAGGTCGCGGGTGTGGGCAAGGGGTCGTCGCGGCCTGGTGGTGTGGTGGTGGTCGACTCGTGAGAAAGAAGGAAGCAACAACGTGAGCTTTTTAAAGTCAGTAAAAAAGAAAAAAATATGACCCGCCTAGGCACCCAGACCCGCCTAGCGCCTAGAACCGCCTAGGCGCCGCCTAGACCCGCCTAGGCCGATTTTTCGATTCTGAAGCAAAAGAAAAGAATTCATAGCTATTTGAATCTCCCAACTTGAAGCAGATTCTTGTCGTCCCATACTATTCAGTTTTCGGATTGAAAAATCTTACATCTTTGCAAGCATCAACACTTGAAAGATACTCTAGCCTCCCTAAATAGACCAGTAACAAAGGTCCAAGCTTTACCTGCACACAGCTTGCCTGGATGGTCCCTGATAAAAAAAAATGGTGATTTGAGCATGACCCATCACCATAAAAGCATCCAATTTCAAGCTCAATCCCAGAAACTTAAAACTTTTGAAGTGCAAAAATTGAATCCCCATGTTACCTTCATTTAAAGAACAAGAGAGAGCAAGAAACAGGGGTACGAATTTACATTTTATGTGTCTGAAACGGTTAATGGGTAGCAGCTGCCGAGATTGAGAACAAAACAGTGGAAGAGAGGATCCAAGTGGCAAACGAAATGCGAGCTTTAGATAAACCGTGTTGGTTTGAGAGCGAAAGTGTTTTAGAGACCGTTTGGTGGGCTTTCGACTTGTATTATTAACTCCAAAGGCCCAAAACGATGGGCTTCATTCACAAGCCTCAAGCCCAAAATATTTGCATAAACCTTTTTCACACAACAGAAAAAATAAAAAGTATTAAAAGTACAAATTATAAAGGGCAGTTTGTATTTAACATGGTTCTCTAAAATTCTTAATGTTCTCAGAAAATCCAATGAGTGCTAATAAAAAATAGAATTTTTTTAGCTTTCAACTAATAAAGTTATGGAATTCTTATGTGTAACGAGAAATTTAATCATTGTTCTAATCAACGAGGTCTAGCCTAGTAATTTAATCAAATTCTAAACGAATTTTAGAAACCCTAAAATTGCTCATGTTCTGGGAGCAATGGTGTTGTTGGAAATGACAATATTGGAGGGCCACTTGAATGCGAGAATTGATTTCTTCTTATAAACCTAATTACAGCAGCAAATAGCTTTGGTGAACCGGCAATCTCAACCTAATTACACCAAAGCTATTTGCCACCATTCCTCAATCGTCGGAGTGAGCTTTCTTTTTCTTTTGTGGTGATTAGCATGCAGTGGCTTATGTCAATGGAGATAAATATTATGGAGCAAAAGCAACCATAAATGTTTGGGAATCTAAGATACAACAACCTAATGAGTTCAGCTTGTCTCAGCTGTGGATATTAAGAGAGTCTTTTGGTGAAATTCAAGATATAATAACTATAAGTGTCCAATTTGTTTGACCAATTGATTTGGTATCGAGCCAACATTTTCAACTCATGCCATTTGGGTCTGGGAGGAGGGTGTGTCCTGGTGTAAACTTGACCATGAAAATGTTGCCTGGGGTACTTGCGGCTTTGATTCAATGCTTTGATTGGAAGGTTGATGGCTCTGATTGCAAGAAGATGAACGGTGATGATGTTCTTGAAATGGATGAACGCCCTGGATTGACTGCTCCGAGGGCGCATGATCTTGTGTGTGTTCCTGTTGTCCGCTTCAGCCCACTCAACATCCTTGACCCATAAGGCAAACTTTTTTATTTATATGTTGGTCATAAAAATATTCTGAAAGTTTATTGTGTGTGTGTTGTAGTAATACCCGTAAAGGGAAAATAACTTTAATGTATCTTCGTATTTTACAGCTTTAATGAGAAAGAAATAGCTTCTGTTTTTCTGAGTTCTGATGGGAAAAAATAGTAAATGATAAGGTTAACAAAGTAATGCTTATTTTGATATTATGTGGCAAGGAGATTTTGAGGTTAGAGTTTAATGTTAGTGATCATTGACTCGAACACAATACATGTCGGATACGTTATAATATCTTATAGATACAATAAGCATTGAATATTGTACAATGTGTGTCGAACACATATTTTGTAGTATCTTTCAAATGCAGTAGAAAACAATCAAATATTTTATTTTAGGTAGAATAATGGAAGAGGAACATCAATGTATTGCCAATCTTTTCATTTTGTGTCATTTATTATCTTTAAGCTTTATATTATTATTCTTTTAAAATTCAGTATGAAATGAAAGCAGAGATATAAGTTAAAACTGGGTTTTAGTCTAACTAATCTAAAGCACAGAGATAAATAAGCGCCAAAATAAATCCTGGCGATAAAAAAATTGTTCCCTTTTCCTGCTTCCATGTTCCATTCAACAGCCAGAGCGATCAATCAAGCACAAGCAAACCTTCTTCGCCATTGCAGCAATCCCATACAAGCCCAACAGCCATACCACACTTTCCGTCCCAACAAACCCAAGACCAAGCCCCGCCGCGAACGACTTCACAGAGACACCACAAAGCTTCGCAGGTCCATCCCTTTCGTCTCCCATGTCAAAGAAGTTGAAGACCCAGAAGAAGGCTTGTCTCTCTTCTACGAGTACCAACAAATGGGCTTCAAGCACGACTACCCTTCTTACTCTGCTCTTCTCTACAAGCTCGCTCGTTCTCGAAACTTTGAAGCCGTCGAGACCATTCTCGGCCATGTACGAGATCGAAACATTCATTGCAAAGATACACTTTTCATTGCTCTGATTCAACATTATGGGAAGGCCAATTTGGTAGAGAAAGCCATTGAACTTTTTAACCAGATGCCTTCTTTTAATTGTGTCCGTACATTGCAGGCCTTCAATGCCCTCCTTAATGTGCTTGTTGATAGCGGTAGGTTTGTGGAAGCAGATGAGATTTTTGGTCGGTGTTCTAAAATGGGTTTTCGGCCGAATTCGATTTCGTATAATATTATGATGAAGGGGTGGCTTCAAAAGGGTGACGGGGAAGAAGCTTGCAAGGTGTTTGATGAAATGCTTGAGAAAAAAGTGCAACCTAGTGTTGTGACGTATAATAGTCTTATAGGGTTTTTTGGTAGGAAGGGTGAGTTGGAGAAAGCTAATGGTTTGCTTGAGGACATGAAACAGAAAGGGACGTACCCCAATGCTGTAACATATGCATTGTTGATGGAATGTTTCTGCATGCTAGGAAAGCATGAGGAAGCAAAGAAGATGATGTTCGATATGGAGTATCGGGGTTGTAAACCACGGCTTCTGAATTATGGTGTTTTGATGAGTGATCTTGGAAGGAGAGGAAAGATTGATGAGGCAAAATCTTTACTTCAAGAGATGAAGAAAAGGCGGTTTAAGCCAGATGTAGTGCTGTATAACATATTGATTAACTTTCTGTGCAAGGAAGGTAGGGCTGCAGAGGCTTATAAAGTCTTGATTGAAATGCAAGTTGGAGGCTGTGTGCCTAATGCAGCCACATACAGGACGATGGTTGACGGGTTTTGTCAGATTGAAGATTTTGAGGGAGGTTTGAAGGTTTTGATTGCAATGTTGACAAGTAGACATTGTCCTCGTTTAGAAACATTTGAATGTTTGGTTACGGGTCTAGTAAAGTGTGGGAAAATTGATGATGCTTGTGTTGTCTTGGAGGAGATGGAAAAGAGAAATATGCAATTTTGTTTTGAAGCTTGGGAAGCTCTAGTTGTGGATGCTTGTGGTGAGAATGTTGTTGCAGGGGAGGTTGTGACTGAACTAATCTCTGTCCATTAATGGTCATCAAGGAAGAAATGAACACATGCCATTTTGGCGTGACTTCTGTAGCTCTTTCAAGGCCCCCATCCTGCACGGAGACAATGCAATAAAGATTGGTGGCAAGCCCCTTGTCCCACATTTTTAATGGGTGCTTTTAGCAATTATTGAGCTTTACCATCCAGGAGAGTCGTACTAATATCGTATGATAGTTTAGTTCAATGGAAAAAGAAAAAAGAAAAACTTTATCCACAAGAGAATCATAGTGCTGCTTGACCCATGGCTTGGAGCAAGAAGAAATGTGCTCGTTTGGCTGATGGGAAGGAGAATTTTTTTTCTAAGGTATTGGAAGCTCTAGTCTGTGATGCTTGTAAAACAGAACTAAGCTATGCCCACTGGTAGGCTTCACCAGAAAGAGGAAACTTTGTTTAAGAATTGAAACATTTCATCAATATTATGGGTGGTTGATGCCAAATGTAGGTTTCAGAAAGCTCACTATGCTTGCGGTTGTTCAAATAAAGGTTAGATAAGCATGTAAGCTGAGCTAAATCTATGACCACTGCAGTTCAGGGAAGAGAGGAAGTTTTGTTCAAGAATCGAACTGTTGATGCTAGCGAAGTCTTGTTTCTGGGGAAGCTCTAGTTAGGAATGCTCCTGGTGCAAATAGAGGTTTGACAGGCATGTAAAATTGAAGTTATCTTTACCCACATGTGGGCTTCGGGGAAGAGAGGAAGCTTTATAAAAGTTTGTCAATATTTTGGAATATCGATAAAAAGTCCGTTGTCTAACTTTTAATGGGGGAACATAACTGCTTCCATGTCGACCATGAAAATGCATATCTTACCTCTATTTCGGTTTTTGAGTTAATGTGCAGTAAAAAGTTACCTTGTCTCTGTGCCGATGAAGAAATATACATTCTGAAATTAAAAAATTGTTGGCTTGTTCTTCTTTTCTTGCTATGAATTTACTAGACAACATGGAGATTAGTAGAAGCAAAAGTATTACTGATCCAAGAATTAAAAAATTAATTAAAATTAAGAAGAAAGAGGAGTTGGTCATCACTGCTTACAAGTCCTAAACAAAACTAAGGTTTTAATTAAGTGTACATTAAGTATCAACCAATACATCAGTACCAGAAACGCAAGTCCACCTACTCCATGTTATCAACTCCATCTCTTGATATAAACTTAAACTTCTTAAAACTCATAGTATATATAGCCAGCCAAACTGCCTTGATTCATCATCAATCCATCAAACAAAACATTCTCAAGATCACAAACTGTGCTTATTTTTTCTCCCTTTCCTCCCAATCCCATGGCAACCCGAAAGTCGATTCCCTTGCCCCTCAAGCTAAAAATCTGGCTAGTTCTTCTTGCTCTAGCCATTCCATCCATCACCCCGGCCCGAATCCTGGATAAGGAAAACCCTGCAACCCCTGAGGAACCTGATACAACTCCAACACAGACACCCCTTTCCAATGTTGCTCCTGCTGCAGCTACTAGTGCCACAGTTTCCAATTCAGAGGCCTACCATCCACTAACCTTCTTCTTGCATGACATTATTGGTGGATCAAACCCCTCAGCCACAGCAGTCACTGGGATAGTGACCAATCCAGCAGTCAATGGCCAAGTCCCCTTTGCCAAACCCAATGGAGCAGTTGTCCCAATTGGGAATGGCATTCCTCAGAACAACAACAACAATGGAATTATCAACAACAACAATGTCCCCTTCTTCACTGGCCTTGGTGGAAACACAGCTAGCAACTTGATCCAAAACAATGGGAACAACAACAACATCATCGGCGGCAACGGGCTCCCATACCTAAATGGGGCTCAGCTCCCTCCAGGCATAACCCTTCAAAAGCTCATGTTTGGGACACTCACAGTGTTTGATGATGAGCTGACTGAAGGGCATGAGCTTGGCTCTGGTTTGCTTGGCAAGGCACAAGGGTTCTATGTGGCAAGTTCTGAAGATGGCAGCAGCCAGACCATTGCTTTCACTGCCATGTTTCAGAGTGGTGGTTATGCTGACAGCCTCACCTTCTTCGGTGTGCATCTCGTGGCGGCATCAGAGTCTCATCTTGCAGTCA